AAGGCTACATTTTTTCACAAACTTTGAAGTATAGGGACAGGGTCCCAAGAGTTAGGCCAGTCCTCAGAGTCAAAGTTAAGAAGCACCTTGGCCTACATTCCTCCCTCTAGGGAGGAAGTTTACTTATAATGAGGAGTGATTTTTTTTTTTTTTGGCTATGAAAGTTTAGCAACTTACATATTCTAGTCATAAAGAAGTTTTCAGAGAAGTAAATGCTAAGTATGGTATGACTGCAAGTGCTACAAATATTTTGCAGTTCTTATTATTAGGTGGGATTTATTATCCCATTTTGAATTTCATCTGGCCTGTGATTTACACTGACCATTGGAATACAATGGGTATGATACTGTTCAAGTTTTGATCCTAATCTTAAGAGGCCTTGCATCTTCCATTCTGGTTTCTTGGAAGGCCATTGTCATGTAAACAACCCGGACTAGCTTACTTGAGAATGAAAGACTACTTGTATAGACAGAAGTCTAGCTGCCCATCCAGGGCAGTGGGGTCCAAGACATGAAAATGAGCCTAGGTAACATCATGTGGAATAAGGATGAGCTGGCCCAAATGAGTCCAGACTAAACTGCCAACTCACAGAATTGTTAAGTATTATTTCATATAGCCAAAACCCAAACTGGAAATAATATGAAAGTCTAAAATAGACTTTAACTATAGTATTGAAAGGCTCGTAGCATTACTGGTTAAGAGTATAAGCTCCAGAGTCAGACTGTCTGTATGTGAACACTGGCACTACCCTTTATGAGCTTGTGACCTTGGGCAAAAGAGAATATAACGTTATATGATTGTTCTGTGAAAAATAAATTAATTATATGTACCTAAGACATAGTAAATATCCAAATTATTATGAATAAGCTATTAAAATCATGTTATAGAAAATTCTGCAGCACTGGGAAAGGACTATGTTATTTTTAGGTGGAAAAAACATAATACAAAGCCATATATACAATGATAAATCTTAAATTACAAAATGTTACTCCATATGTAAATATAGGAATAGAATAGCATTATTCGCCCAGTTACTACTGTTAAGTTCTTTAGAAAAAACATATTTTCTTTGTTGCTTTTCTGTACTTGCAAAATTTTCTACAGTAAATAAGCATTAGGTCTGTAATCAGGAAAAATGTTATTTCCATAAATTACAGTGTTGTTATCTGTAGATTAGCTAATTGTTTTCTTAATCCTTAAGAGCATTAAGGAAAACTTTTACTAGAAATAAGAATAATGTTTGTGTGGCTGGGGTCGTAGCTCAGTGGTAGAGCACTAGCCTACTACTAATGCAAGAATAAATGGTAAAAATTACCTTTTAAACTTGCTTCGTTTATTCTTAAATAGATTATTTAAATGCAGACAAGTATTTTTTATTGATATTCTCCATGAGAAACCTAGTATTATAGAAGAGCAAGTAAATAACRTGCTATGCTGAGGACTAATACACAGAGATTTATCATAAATAATTTCTTCCTTCTGAATTAGTAAGCTCATCAATTATTTTATAAATATTCTAAGGTTCCACAATAACATTCCACAATTATTTTATAGTATTTTTTGGGTTTGATCCTCAGCACCACATAAAAATAAATAAATAAAATAAAGGTATTATGTCCATCTACAACTGAAAAAAAAAGAGAATAATATTTAATCCAGTGGAGAAAATATACAGAGAATCAGAGAGGACATTGCACTAACCTGAACAACTTAAATACTACAAAGAAAAATTAAGCCTGTCAYTTTGGTTCTAAAATGCCTCCAGGCTTACTCCTATTTGTCAGCTTAGAATACCATCTTTTATTCCTATCTTCTTGTTTTTCATTAAACTAGTTCCTATTTATTTCAGTTTAAATGTCACTCACAGGTCTTCCTTAATTTCTCCAAACTCAAATATATTTGAGTTTCCAAGTCCCACTTAGGTTCCCTTTGTAATTCTCTTAAAATACCCACTTCTTTCCTCCTCATGAATTACTCCTTATAACTGAACTTTTCTTTGTCCTTGGCATCCTACATGACTACAAAGAAAAAGTGGTGGAGACAGAGAGCTTCAAGTTAAATCTTCCCTTTCTACCTTTAAAATATGAAAAGATGTGGAAAGGGAGGTTATGAATGCATATGTAGAAAACTTTCTCTCTTAAAAGTAAAAAGGTGAGCAGTCATCAGCTCTCAAATACATATGATTAAAAAAATTTAGAGAATAACTTTAAAGAATATTCTGGTTGCCATAGAATATTTATAAAATAATTGACAAACTTACTATAATTCAGAAGGAAAAAATTATTATGATATATCTCTGCATATTAGTTCTCAGCATAGAATATTATTTATTTGCTTTTCTATAATATTAGGTTTCTCATGGAGAATATTGATTAAAAAAACTTGTCTGCATTTACATAATCTATTTAAGAGTAAACTCAGCAGATTTAAATGGTAATTTTCACCATTTATTATTGCATCAGTAGTATTTTAGTCACTTAMGATGCAACTTAAAATACACAGGTCAAATCKTTGTTGAAAACTGATGTACATCAATACTGATTTTTCCTAAAACTGTGCTGTGAGAATAACAACAAATTATGCTTATATTTGTAATATTCCAAAATAACCGATATGTATATTATTTTACTATAAAATATTTAGCATTTTTCAATTAATTTGAGAGTGGATTAAGTTCCTACTTGGAGCAAACAGTACCAAACAGAGTTAATGAGTCCACCAATAACCTTGAAAATAAGGTTACTCTTTTCTGTGTGTGTGAGGTTGGAGACAGAACACAGGGTTTTTCATGAACACTATGCAAGTGCTTTACACTAAGCCTTATCCCAACTCTTTCAAAATTTTTATTTATTTTAAAACTTATGTATACCATTGTATGTTTTTATCTTGTGCCACATGATATTCTGAAGTACATATAAATTGCAGAATTATTAGATTTAGCTAATTAATAAATGTATCATCTCATGTAGCTATAATTTTTATGGTGAGAGCATATAATATCTACTCTCTTTACATTGTTAAAAATACAAGATATAATCATTAACTATCATCACTTTTCTGTACAAAAGATCTCTTGAAATTTATTCCTCCTATGTAACTATAATTACATATACTAAGCCAATGTCTGCTCCCTGTAGCATTAGCCACCCAGCCTTTGGTAAGTACCATTACACTTTTTACTTTTATGAGATCAATCAACTTTTTTAGATTCCACTAAAGAGTGAGATCATGCATTAATTGTCTTTCTGTGCCTAACTTATTTCACTTAACATAATACTCTGCATGTTCATTCATGTTGTTGTAAATGACAGGATTTCATTCTTTTTAATGGCCAAATAGTATTCCATTATATCTTTCCTCTATCTATCTACCTATGATTCTATCTYATTTATTCATCTGTTGATACTTACTTTGATTCCATGTCTTAGCTATTGTGAATAGTGCTGCAATAAATATGGAAGTGCAGAGGCCTCTTCAACATACTAATTTTATTTCCTTTGGATACATTACCAGTAGTAGCACTACTGGTTCTTATGGAAGTTTCTATTTCTAGTTTTCTGAGGAACCTCCATACTTGGTTTCCAAAATGATTGTACTAACTTTAGCAACAGTATGTGAGTTTCTCTTCTCCATGACTGCACCAGCACTTGTGACTTTTTTTTTTTTTGGTTGTTTTTGGATAATCGACACCCTTAACTGGAGTGAGATGATGTCTCTGTTATTTTAATTTGCATTTCCCTGATGAATAGTGATGTTTAAAATCTTTTCACATATTTGTTGGCCATTTGTATGTCTTTCCAGATCTTTTGGGTTATTTGTTTTTCTTTTTTCTCCCACTGAGTCAAGTCTATATACATTTTTAATATTAACCCCTTGTCAAATGTATAGTTTACAAATATTTTCTTCCTTTCTGTAGGTGTCTTTTCACTCTGTTGCTTACTTTGCTATGTAGAAGCTTCTTAGATTAACTCAGAGCATTGTTCTTTTTTGCTTTTGCTGACTGTGCTTTTAAGATCTTAAAAAAAAAAAATCCTTGCCCTGGTCAATTTATAAAGCATTTCCCTATGTTTTCTTCTATTATTTCATAGTTTCAAGTCTTAAATCCATTTTGAGTGAAAATCAGGTTATATGTTCTCTCTCTCTCTGTATGGTGGGATTGAGCCCAGGTACTTTACCTACTCTTTTTATTTTGAGACAGATACTTGCTAATGCCAAGGCTGACTTTGAACTTGGGATTATTCTGCATCATCCTTCTGAATAGCTAGGATTACAGGCATATGCCATCATGCCCAACTAGGTTATTCTTAAAGTGAAAATGACATTACTCACCCATTGAAGAAACTCATCCAAAAACATTGTCTCTGAATATATATAAGTATCTAGGAATACTCAAGTCCAATCAATGTCTCCAAAACAACTAAATGTAAAAGATAACTATAGTCTAAATAAAATGTCTGATAAGTTCTCTCAAGAAACAAGATGAGGAAGACTGTTTCTGTGTGGCTTTTAGAAAGGGGGGAGGCCCAAAGAGCTCACAAGCTCCATGAAATAAATGATTTTTATTGTGTTTTTGTAGCTCCCACATCAGGAACAAAACCAGTAGGCAGTAATACCCRCAGATGTTTAACAGCATCATATGTAGTGCCGCATAGGGACTTCATTTAGTATGTAACTGACAGCTTGCTGGAATGCTGAGAATGGCAGGAAAAATGTAGCAGCGAAAGAAAACTGATAAATACAGATACAAGAGCTAGGGAATTTCACTCTGACAAAATTAAGCATAGAATATTTTAGAGATGATATATTAAGCAAAACCAGTAAAAATAAAATTTCTAATTTAACAAATAATTAAGCAAAATATAAGATCAGTTATAAAAAGAATGCTGGGCTAAATTCCACATAAAGAAGTGCTTTCCTTTTACATGGTTCGTAAATAATATAATTAATTGACAATAGTTATATCAAAAGATTCACATGAAAATTTGCATTTCCTGCTTTACCTGAGAAACTGGACAATGTGGTAACACTAGGTCAACATTCCTGCCTTGCAACAATTATCTGGAACGGAGCAGTGGCTGCTCCTCCAGAAAGGACTTGGCTCTCCAGTTCAGTGCAGTGGCTTCCTGCTTCATTCCCATCAGTCGGGCCTCTGTAGGCATTTGGGTTTCCAACCTCTGGAATAGAAAGGACCTTGAGATAAGGGTTAAAGGACTCAATGTAGCTCTTGACAAGAGGTAAAACTCATTTTTACTGATCATTTAGCCTACATCTCAGTTTCTTTTGTAAATGAATACTTGGTAGATTATCATGCATTATTAGTACACATAAAAACACCAGTAAGCCAGCTAAAACCATAAGTATCCAGACAACTTTCCTAGTAAAAGTGAGTTTTCCCCAAGACTGGTGATTCTTGAGTTAGAGGATGTAAATAATGAGACCTTCCATTTCACTTTAGTCCTCTACCTTTCTTTCTTAGCACCATTGTTGACAATGTCACATTACCATTCTCTTAGGAACTAATTTTGAGATCAAAGAATTTTGGAACCAAACTATACAATTTATTCTTAATAAGATGTATAAAATGCCACTGATTACCTCTCCTACTCACCACTCCCAGAATTTACAACATTGTTTTCTTTTAGCAATTAAGAACATTTTTCATAAGGTCTTTCAAAGGTGTACTTGAGACCTCATAACTGCTTGCTTTATTTTCTTCTTGCCTTCAGGGAGACATTGATAAACTATGCTGTTTGACAATTCTTCTGCAGCCTGGGTAAAATAATCTTTATAATCATTTAACTTATTTTTCTGTTTCCATACTACTGAACAATCTTCTAATTATGTGATAGATTTCATAGGCACTGTGATATAATTTAGTTAACAACCTGGATAGCAGGTACAAGTATTAGTCACTAAAAACAAACATACATATATAATAAATAGGTCACCTGGTATAGAAATTAATTTTTAAAAAAGCTTTTGTAAATATAGATGGTCTTTGTTAGATCCCAGAAGCCCACTACTCTTGAGAGTAAATAGCAAAATCAAGTTTTTAACTTGGAAGAGTTTAGGATCAAAACCTGTACCACAGTTACTCCACAGGGTGCCTACCACCTTTGAGATTTTCCCTGAGGGCCAGACTACCGTTTGTTTGTTTGTTTGTTTGTTTTAGTTTTTAGTGTGTTTGTTTGCTTTAGGGCCACCTTCCTCTGATAACATCATCACCCAGGTCAAGGTAATGTGTAGAATGGGATGTGGGAATATGATTAGACAATGCTGTTCCTTAGAAAGCAACCAGGAGAGGCAAAGAAGCAAATTAAGGGTCGTGCAGCCAAGGCTAAATGACCATGTTTTTATAATCCTGATATAAAAAAGTGTTCCGGGTTGGGGCTGGGGGGTTGGGGATATAACTCAGTTGGTAGAGTTCTTGCCTCACATGCACAAGGCCCTGGGTTCAATCCCCAGCACATACACACACACACACACACACACACACACACACCAAACAAAACAACAACAAAACAAACAACAAAAATAAAACAAAAAAAACCCCAAACCC